GGAGGGAGCGTGCCAGCACGAATCGTGCCCTCGGAATGCGAGCGCACAAACGGTCATGTAAACGGAACCCACAGGTTTGGTTCGGAACAATGAGCTGCTACCGCAAACGATGGCTTTAACCAGTCGTTCGGGTAACTTTTTCCCGCAAGCACATGGATCGAGTTCAGTGCACTGATTATCACATTTTTTGTTGAGTGCAATCTACAAACCCTTCTCTTCTGATAAGGCCGCTTCCTGTCTCGGTGAAAATGCTCTTTATTTCAAGGTCAGGGCGTCGGAGCACGAAATGTGGTCTTCGGAAGCGTGCTAAACTAGCAGAGAGAGGGACGAGTTAGAGACCCACTGGCCATCGGGGGCTGAAGTACATACAGACTGGGGTTAATCGCCATGCTTACTTTCGTCATAAAGCTCGATGCCCGTACAACACTCCGACCCGTATCCTCCACCGCAGTTGGAGCAGAGTTGGTGAACTCCGACTACCTTTGTCAACTCATTTGCTCAAGTGGTCATTCTACCTTTTTATTCTCGATGATGGCCTCTACTCTTTTATCAAAGACTCGGCAAGCAAGTCATATAGTCCGTTTCTGTTCTCAGGGCTTTTAAGCCACTCTCTTCGACTAGTCGTCGCTGTGAACGCTCCTTGCACTTCTGACTAGCCGGTTAAGTATAATTCTGTACATATGAGGGATACAGAACCTTGAAAAACCCTTTTTACAGATAGACGTATGAAAACATGTGCATATTTATATAACAGTAATTCCGGTCATTGATATCGAGTAAATGTTTGACCTTTTTGGAGGTCTTAACGTTTTCCGCTAAGACAACGGATAGTTTTGTAGCGGCTCGAGTCGTGGACGTGCTTTGAGTGCCCTCGGACCATATTACTCAGGTAACTAGGCTTCTTATTGCTGCAAATTTTCGGTAGTGGCATTAGCAGAAGCCGGCAAACTAACCTAGCCGAAACTAAAGCATAGTTTCTTGGGAATTATGTGAGATCGCTTAGCACGCGTGGTAGTCTCCATGGTCGCCGGTGCGGTTACCTATTCATGCCACCTTTTTCTCCGTCCCGTGCTACCGATCAGCCCGCTGTTGGAGCTGATTATGACTTGGCATCTCGCTCGGACCTCCAAAATACATCATTTCATTCTATTTGTTTTCTGTAATTTCTCCACACTAACTTGTGGCGGCTTTTGTAGTGGTTGTACTTTGTGCACCACCAACATCAGACGATAACGAGGGATTTAGTGTGAACATAAACCTAGTTCCCTGACTGCTTAAAATTGGTGACCCCGACGTATTCATTATGGCACTCCACGTACACCCATTACCCGAGTCATCGCAGACATTTAGCACCTTCAGCGTTAATTACGCGAATATTTAGGACTGTCGAAAGTCAGGAAACCTTTGCAGTCCCAATGGTGCATTCTTTAAGAACGCTCGCTGACGCTGTAGCTCACTTTATTTGCACGCCCAAAGCAATGGAGAAGATTCGCTTTCCATCAGCTGCCAGAATTCAGAACCAAAAGCACTCCCCTTCCGTCCTCATCCAGTGGCTTCAGAAAACTTAGCCTCCACTTTGCAGATACTGTCCGGACTGTTCGTCCACTGAGGTAGGAATTAGAAGGAAACCATTCTTGATATATTAGAAGAGACCGTACGTTGCGTGGACATTTGTCCGATGTGTAGCACAGTTCTTCAGATGTTCCAGAGATGGGCGCCCATTCTGATGTCTGTCTTCAAGACGCAGGAGTAGTGTGGAGTGTATTCGACCGCCAACTGATGGCCCGTTCGCAAAACTCACACCAAGTCTGTTGAACCTAGCTGCTTTGTAGCCTGTCTAGATTAAGTCGCCTGAGTTGGCTTACTTCGTGCCGCCCGTACGTGGAAAGAACGTAAATAAGCAGGATTGTACGGAAACACGGTTCTATAATTGGCATTATTAGCAAGGTTTAAACGTTACAATTACAACCAAATCTCTCCAAGTGAACAATCAGAAGGGTATGGCGTACAGTCAGAAGCATGTAGCGTATAGTCGGAGAGGTAGTATCAAGTTATGCGAGAAGAAAACGGGAGATTCAAACAAATGGTATGAGGGCCGGAGAAAAACAGAACGACATAATTTTCGGTAAAAGGTGTCGATAAAAAGAGGAAAACATAGGTAGGAACGCTAAAGCCTATTTTTGCCAGCACCTGCGCAACCCCCGAGAAGGTCTTCTTTACCGCTAACATCAACACACCCAAATCAATGGTAGGGGCGCTCACCGATCGTTCATACGGAACTCACTCGTTCCGTTGTGCCTTAATGGCTCTCTCTCTCTCTCTCGAGTCCAACCAGCAGCCGCACAGCGGCGCATGATATATAGGCAGAACGGCATCACCGACAAAGACAAGGGAGACTGGAATGACCATTTCTGGCTTATTAGCCGTCGTCAGCCAGTCATACCCAAGCCCAAAGTGTGGAACACCCGAGCCTCGAACTCGCGACCTGTTAGTTAGAAGTCCACGCCTCTAACCACTGCTCCACGAGCCCGTTGCCCTGTCGGTTTTCGATCGGGAATATACAATGGTAGTCCATAATGCACAACGGAACGAGTGAGTTCAGTAAGAACGATCGGTGAGCGCCCCCTACCATTGTATATTCCCGATCGAAAACCGACAGGGCAACGGACTCGTGACCCAGTGGTTAGAGGCGTGGACTTCTAACTAACAGGTCGCGAGTTCGAGGCTCGGGTGTTGCACACTTCGGGGTTGGGTATGACTGGCTGACGACGGCTAATAAGCCAGAAATGGCCATTCCAGTCTCCCTTGTCTTTGTTGGTAATGCCATTCTACACCCAGGTCACTAATATGCCTTCAGTAAAGTGGTGGTCCTTGTTTCACGCAAGAGATGAACTATCGCAGAGGCGAAAGACCACATGCTTGACGAGGTTACACCCCGAGTGGGTCTTCAGCAGAAGCCCGTTGCTTTTTTAGTCCTCGCCCTGACAACCCGTCACAAGCTCTCGGCGACTGCACCTACACACACGCTGAGTTCGGCGTACTTACAACAGAGGAGTGCAGATCATCACGACCGGCCAGAGTATGAGTGCAAGCACTGACAACTGTAGCGGATTTCCTGCCGCAGAGTAACATCCCTACTGTGATGAGGTGGCCAGCGACTCCTTTTTTGAGGGAGCATCGAGCTTCTTCATGGACTCGGTCTTTATGTGAGTGATTCATCAGCCGCTCCAGATAGACACATCCTCCCTGACTTCGTTAAGTTCCCCTTACCGAGAGAAGTCGAATTCGCGCGGAGGACTGTGCTGTAGATCTTGTCTCGAGGGCGTTCGCAATCACCCTGGGTGGTTGTCTGGTGTGTTACTTAAAGGACAGCAGACAGCACAGGCTACTGGAAAGGCGGCTGCTGTTGTTTTCATGTTGACCGACGACGGCCCCTGCCAATCAACCCCAGTTAGCTGAACATCAGAGCCGACAGGCAGCATGACGATGTCCGACGTCTTTGTTCAGGGCGATGCTGCGTCAAGGCCACCCACCTGTCCTGAGATTGGTTCCAGACGTGCTGACCTTACTACTACTGCAGACTGACCGGCTGCAACCTGCGCACCCGCGCACATCCAGACAGTCGCGACCGTCAATGCCGCCACTTGAACAAGCCGTTGATCGGCTAATGCAAAAAAAACACTAGACAAATCACATCTCGCTCCCACAAACTATACTGACAGTTCGACCGTCACATCCGACGCTGTCCACCGTGTGCTCCACGGCCAGGTGAGAGCGGGGGCGGTGACTGGTGCAAAAATTTAGTTTTTAGTGATATTATACTTGCATAGCATTTACCGCACTCGCCCCTTCTCCCCCACCTGGACCCGGTGTCAAGACAGAGTCAAGAAGACCGGGGCGGGGGAGGACGCAGGTGGACGGCGCGGTCGAGCCCGCACCTTGGCGCGCACCCCCTGGTCCACACAACAAATGACCAGGTTTTTGAGCAACAGCAACAAGAACGGGGGTGGCAGGGGCCCCAGTGTGCCCGACGACTGCCGACAACGGGGTCTGCCACCGCACTCCGGGGTGCTGGTATTTGTTATGGTGTGCAATCCGATAACGCCTGCCAGAATCCGATATGGCTTCCGTGTTGGTCCAGCGCATCTACCACGTGGCCCGTTTGGTGGGGAGCACAACTAACTCACCCTCGGACATGAATTAAAACGTCAGGTTGGCCTCGCCAGTGGCCACAGTCGCCCCTTCTGGTGCCTTCGGCTTTCTCTTATGATGACTGTAACCCTCAACCTGCACCTCCCACAACCAAGGGCGTCGTAGCGTAATCACCGATTCCCGACACAGGTCTGTTCGGACCCCCAGACGACCCCTAAATGCCGGCTTAGAGCGGAGAGACGGTCTGACTGTCGTGGCGAGAGTAAGCTGTTGTTTCGAGTTAAATGAATTGACTGTAGCGAAGGTGACATGCGCTAATTAAATTCTAGTGGGGTGGTGTCGTTGTTAATTAGCGAGAAGTCATCTCTGCACATGATGCTGCTATTGTTGAAAGACAGCAGATAGTTGGATGGTTTCCTGAACTAGCTGAATTTGCAGCTGGAGGCTTCCATGCATCCCTCAGACACACCAGTTTGAAGTTCCATGTCGGCAAGGGACGTCGGCAGTGGAGTCTCATTTGATTATATGCGACACTCGCCATTGTCATGCCTTATGACCTTTTTATTGGTTACTAAGTTGCCGGGTCAGTACCAAAGCACGCTTGAGTGTGTTATCGCTGCGTGTTCAACGACTGTTTATTCGTCAGATCGCCGCCCTGTTTATTTGCGGTCAACTTTCGCTGTTTGTCATTTCACATCTGTGAACGCACCAGCTGACTCACGGTCAAACTAACGGACAGCAGTGGAAGTGGTTGTTTTTTTTAAGTGGGCATCTTACAAGGCTGCTGCACTCACGTTCACAGAGGCATTATGGAAGCACCGGAGGGGGGTCGGGCTCAGCGAACTCAACTAACCTTTGTCTGCAACCGTCTCTGATGATGGGTTCGAGTGCGAATCCGAAACGTCAGGCCGATAAAATTCTTGCTCCAGTGATCGCATCTCCCGCTTCTTCTTCTTCTTCTTCTTCTTCTTCTTCTTCTGCTTCTTCTTCTTCTTCTTCTTCTTCTTCTTCTTCTTCTTCTTCTTCTTCTTCTTCTTCTTCTTCTTCTTCTTCTTCTTCTTCCTCTTCTTCTTCTTCTTCTTCTTCTTCTTCTTCTTCTTATTTTTCTTCCTCCTCCTCCTCATCCTCTTCTTCTTCTTCTTCTTCTTCTGAACTTTCATTCTCCAGCATAATTTATCACGGTGCTTGCCCCACTCCGCATCTTACGGAAGTTTGTCCTTTCCCGCATTCAGATACTTTTTGATTCTATGGCGAAACTATTGCGTCATCTTCCTACCCGCCGATTACCTGCTACCAGTGGGCTGTTGGACGACGCTTCCAGGAAGCCAATGGTTGTTTCTGTACAGTAAACGATCTCTCTCCCCCCCTCCCTGCTCCTTCAGTATCACGCCTCCGGCGGTTGAGAAATCAGATCTCCCGACACTTTCCACTCCTTATAGCTTTCCTCCGCCCGCCAATGAGCGCGACGTACTTTTAGGTCAGTCGCCTCTTCAGCCACTGTAGGTCTTCTCATGTGACCGTGAGACAACTGAGCATGTCGACCAATGGGCGCGCGCGCGGAGCACACCAGCCAGTTGCAGAAGTTTAAGTCTCCTTCGTCGACTGCTTACTTGCGGTGAGAATGCCGGAGATCGAGTTGACAATTGCTGATGGCGTCTTCTGCCCTGGAATCGTCTATTTTGGGTTCTGCTCTGTCTGCCGTGTGCATGTTCAGTCTAGGTAGCTTCGCGAATTGGACTCGGTATGGGTCGGTTACGCTGGCCGGGTCCCAAGTGTATGCGCAATGTGGGCATTGCAAGTAAAGTAAGCCGAAGGGGAGGATGCTGAAATCGTTAGTGGGAAAGTAGCCAAAGTGAAAACGGAAAAAGGGCAACCTGGTGTTCCGGTCTAGAGGTAGGGTTGGCTTTAGGGTTTGGGTTAGTGTCAGGCTGAAAATTGAGTTTAGGGTTGTGGTTTGTGTTAAGTTTGAGGGTTCCGGTCAGAGTTAAGGTTTTGATTGTGGTTTAGCCTTACGCTTAGTCTTAAGGTTGGGGTTAGGATTGGTGTTAGGGTTAGGAAAAAAGTTCACCAACAAGTATGGCCAATATACAACTACCGATCGAAGTTGGCCCGCTCTCCGTTCCGTTATTACAAAATGGGTCGCCAAAGTCAGTATAATGGTAACGGACGAGTGGAAGGCGTATAAATGTCTTCCCTCAGAAGGTTATCTACATTTATCTGTTAACTACTCAAAGAACTTCAAGGACCCTACCACCGGACGGCACACCAATGCCATTGAGGCATACTGGAGTAGACTGAAAAGGAAATTCCACGAGGGAGGCCCTGTATGTGGTCGAGCTGTGTGGGCTCACATAGACGAAGTACAGTATTGTCCTTGGTTTGGCCTCAATGCCATGTCTTTAAAAGATGCCTGAGAACTGTTCCTGTCCCATGTTGTGCAGACTTATCCTATTTAAAAGTGATTTTGTTTTGTAATAAACTGCCATATTGCGAATGTATGCCGTATATTCAGGTTTATCTGTGTAACGATGGGAAGGGTTGGGTAACAGCGACCATCGTCCATGTAACCTCCTGCGATGTTCGTTCGGCCAGCCCATATTAGGCCGTCGCGGAAAGTCCATGTAGTGGGTGAAAGTAGGCCTGCAACCGCTGATATAGCCTGAAGGCGTTTGAGTCCACTGTTAGAGGTATTATTTCTAGGTAACGGATTTTTTTGGTGCCATCTCCCGATTGTTACCGAGTTAAGGTCTAGATTGCGGTTTAGGTTTACGTTTATTTTTAAGGTTGGGGTTAGGGTTAGCGTTAGAGTTAGAGAAAAAAGTTAACCAGCAAGTATGATCAATATGCAAATATTTAAATAACGAGAAAGCCATCCTAATGCAAAACAGTTCGACAACTGAGGTCACAAGTTTAATCTCACTTTCTGAATTTCCATCTTATTACACGTCAGGAATTATGCTTGTGATCGTATAGATAGTCATTGATACGCCCACGTAGGGCGGTAGATAAGCTGGAATTCACGCCGGAGTGGGCGGGGGTGATCTCAGAAGCGGAGGTGCGGGTACTATCGTAGAGAACTCTACTAGCAAACTCTCCAACCATTGTGAAACGCGGTCCTAGTATGACATCGACTATAAATAGGGGTGAGATGTGGTTATGTAGCCGCACCTGACCTAATTAACTATTTTTAGTTTGTGTGATTATGTTGGCATGGTGTTGCTGTGCTTTGCGGTGTGTGTGTGTGTGTGTGTGTGTGTTCTGTTGGCGGCCTTGGGTCAGCTGTGGTTATGTAACCGCACACGAGGTAAGCAAACCCCAGCAGCCAGTTATACGGGACCGGTGGTAATAAGTGGTTTTTGCATGTGCAGACGGGGAACGCACAGGCGACGAGGTCGAGTAATTGTATGCCAAAGGAAAGCTATTGGGTATGGGTGGTTGTACTTTGGGTGGTTGAGGAATAGTTGCCCTAACCCCCAACCCTAATCCCTTACTCTAACCCCTAATAGTATTGTGTCCATCAGGTGTGGTTGCATAACCACATCTTACCAGGGTTTAAGGTTAGCGGTAACGTAAGACAGGCTCAAGTTTAGGTTTAAGGTAGGGGCCAGTGTTAACTGCAGAGTTAGGGTTCAGGTAAGGGTTAGGGTCAAGATTCGGGCGACGGCTAAGTTTTATATTGGGGTTATTGTTGGGGTTAGGACACGGGGATATCTTGCCCTCTAGTACCCTAGAGTAACGCGTACGTCAAATCCAAAAGGAAAGACGCAACTGGGTTTTATACGGTACCATTAACAAATAATCAAGAATAAATGAGGTACAAACCCCAACTCTGGGTACCCGTACTCAAAACAAAGGAGTCGGTCGAATTTAACGCCCCGCTGTAGTCGGCAAAGAATGTGCGTTCGATAGCGTGGGCCACACGCATTTGGAGGAAGGATTTTAGGCAAGAAGGGTGACCCTCACTCTCAAGGTCGAAGTCAGGAACTGACTAAACAAAGATGTCCAATTCGGGTGGTTAAGGGGAATAACGAGGAAGGTTGGGAACAGTAGGTCAGATAGAAGTTCACAAAAATTCCAAACCCGTTCGACAGAAAACAACAGTGATACTATGGAGACCTCCTCCCCTCCCCCTCCCCCTCCTCCTCCTCCTTCTCCTCCTCCTCCTCCTCCTCCTCCTCCTCCTCATCTTCTTATCACTCCTATCTCTTAATCCCTCTGGGCAAGTTAATTATTTCCAAAGCCTGTCTGAGCAATTCGACACCCGTGCTAATGTGATAAACACATATATGTTCTCTTATCCTACTAGGTGGGATTTAAACTGATGATTGTGGCGGCCAAAGTACGCCATTGACAGTTCGACCGTCCACGGTGTGCCCCACGCAGTAGGCGCCACACCGGTGAATTGCGCGTAAATTAGTTCACAGTGAGACGGACTTTCGAAGCATCTACCGCACTCATGCACCACCCACCTACCAGGCCCTAATGGCAGATGAGCGTCAAGACGGCTGGAGATGGGCTTGGGCACAGTGATTAACTAAGTTAAATGGTCCGTCTACGCGTACCACACGCAGTCTGGTACACACAGCACCCACCAGGCTTTCATGCGTGCGGCTCGGATCTCACGTGCGTGAGGATGCCACAGAGGCCACTCTAAGGGGCTATTTTGGCCTGACTGTTTGCCCTGAGAAAGAATGAGTTTCGCCATCGACTAGAAGCCCTCACTATGACAGAAGCCTATGCTGAGAGTGAGACCACGCCTACCACGACCTTCAGGCCCGGTCCCGAGCGGAAAGCGAAAATGGACACCAGGTGGGAGGATTATATATTCTGTACAGAACAACCCGAGAAGGTATTGGAAGGAGTTAGCGGGGTCCCAGATGTGAGTCAGGGAATATGTCAAAAAGTTTTGAGCCAGGGCACCTCTGACTTGGCCTTAAAGTTGACTGGCCAGTTGGAAACCCGAGTGGGCGGACGTCAGACAGCCCTGGTGCGTAAGTGCAGACACGGACGAGAGGCCCTGAGTCGCAACAGACGCTTGGAGTAGGTTCACTACATACCACCAAACCCCTTGCCCGCGCACAAAGGACCAGGACTTCACACAACCAGAAAATGGGAGGCGGCTTGAATCTCATCTGACTGGGAGTGCCATAAAGGCCGCATTAAGAAGGAGTCATCGCAGTCTGGCTCTCAGTCCACCAGTCGGCCACACAAAGCGCAAACACTCACTGGGCTGTCTGCAAGGTCTGGGTCGAATCGTCAGTTGGCAATCATCTAAGTCCAGGCTTCTAGCGCACCATGATAATCTCCGATTGTTTATGATAAGGAATTATGCGCTGAAAGTCGACCTCATTAATTCTCTCTACCCTAGCCCATTGCACCAATCGACTGTCCGAGCACGTCGACCGAATGACGTTGAGATTGGAAGGGGTAGCTGGCAGAGTTAAAGCAGCTCATCTGCGACTGCCCACACACGACCTAACTCCATTTAAGCACACACACACACAACGATTTCACACAAAGGTGTGGGACTGCACGGATCTCACATGCGACAGAGGAGTCATGTGCGGAAGCAGTCGAAGAACATACTTCTCGTTTGCATGAAAGCTGCCTGTATTGCGTGATGCTGGAGCTGTAGCGCCTCAAACGAGATTAAGCCTCATGCCTCTGACGCCCACGCAGCACTAGGAGTCATGTGATCACGACTCTCGAGCGCCAGAACGTGAACACATTCAGCCCTGGGGATAGCCAATCAGGGGCGCCCACAAACTCCACTATCAACCAGTCGGCTGACCGCCAGGCTGACACCGACTGACTCTCACGTGACGCCTGTTTACTCACGCCCTCGTCACCCTAGCGCACGGACATGTGCGGCCCTACAGTCGGCCCTCGCGTCGGGGACTCTGGCAGAGCATACTACTCCCACTGGTGTCTTTCCCCTTTTCGTCTAAAGCGAGAGACTGGGCCGTGATTACTGTCGCGCGCTGAGCACACTCTCACTGCTTAGACGTCACAGTGTGTGGTGTATGTGTTGGTGGGGAAGTGTGTGTGGTGATGTAGTCTAGTCTACGGGGATTTACTACAGATTTTCGTGGAGGTGCATGTGACCTAGCAGGCGCATGTGATGGCTGAATGCACGTGAGCAACGTGGGCAGTTGGTGTG